CTCACCAAGTTGCCCAGGCTGGTCTCGAACCTGTGGGCTCAGGCAATCCTCTCACCTTGGTCTCCCAAAGTGCTGGGATTATAGGCATGAGCCATTGCATCTGCCCCGAAGCCACATTTTGTGGCAAAAGACATCAGGTTTATTCTGAACTTGGGCCTCTCCTAGACAGAGGAGGCCATCCCCTCCCCTGCCACCATCACCAGACCCAGGCAGGTCACCTGTCCCACTTGAGAAATCAGAACCTAAAAAGCATTCATCCTGCTGTGAGCCGTGGCTCACGCCTGTAATCAACACTTTGGGAAGCCGAGGTGAGAGGATTGCCTGAATCCAGGGGTTCGAGACCAGCCTGGGTAACATGATGAGGCCTTGTCTCTACAATAAATCAAAACAATTAGGTGGGCATGGTGGCACAGGCCTGTGGTTCCTGCTACTTGGAAGACTGAGGTAGAAGGATCACCTGAGCCCAAGCAGGTCAAGGCTGTGGTGGCCATGCGTATGCCACTGCACTCCAGCCTGGGCGATACAGTGAGACTCCAACTCAAAAAACAAACCAAACCAAAAAGAATTCATGCTTCCCTGGGTGTGGTGGCTCACATCTGTATTCTCAGCACTTTGGGAGGCTGAGGAGGGAGGACTGCTTGAGCCCAGGAGTCTGAGACCAGCCTGGGCAATATAGCAAGACTTTGTCTCCACAAAAAAATAAAAAAAATAACTGGGCATGGTGGTGGGCACCTGTCATCCCATCTACTTGGGAGGCTGATGTAGGAGGACGGCTTGAGCCCAGGAGCTGGAGGCTGCAGTGAGCCAGGATTGTACCAGCCCAGGTGACAAAGAAAAATCTGGTCTCAAATTTAGTAAAAAAGGTATTCATTCTCCCTCTGGTGGCAGCTTCCAAGACTGCAGTTGCCAAACTGCTGGGTGCAGGAAGAAAATGCTAGAACATCTATTTATGGCCAAGTGTTGTCTCTCTTTTATAATTTTGGGTTCTGAGGAGTGATCTATAGCATACAGGAATAATCATGTAATTTCAATACATATCCATAAAACAGGTGGAGGCACACATACTTTTTTTTACTGTTAGTGGCATAAGACATCAAAAGCCAGAAGAGCTGTCCTTCAGCGAGAACCCCAGGAAGAGCCCCTTCCCTAAGCACCCGCCATGCGTGAGCCATGGCCCCGGGCCGCACTCAACATGCTTATAATGGTGAAAATTATGCAAAGGCGCCTCCTTCCTTAAGACACAGCATCCACCTGTGGGAAAACTGTCACAGTTACTGATTTTGGTAAATCAAGTCACTTTGGTGTCATCTGCTGGAAAAACCCTCATGGCAAGTATGAAATCGGGCTTCCCATGGTGGGAACGGCATCCCCTCAGATATGGGGTTCTTTTATAGGACAGGTGGGGTGACCCCGAGGGGAATCCATTGCCACCTCACTGCAGACCTAAGAGGGCAACGCTGTTCTGGCCCGTTTTATAGAAGGGGAAACTGAGGCTGAGAGGAAGTGACTCTCTGAGGGTCACGTAGCAGGGAAGCAGCAGGCCAAGTCCTGGCCCTCTTCTACTTGCTTTGCTGCCAGCTCTTGGGCGCATGACTCTACCTCTCCACTGGCCTACCCTGCCCCGTCCCACCTGCCCTGTCCCTTCCCACAGGCCTCCACGTCACCTACCTGTGTGTAACAACGCAGCAGTAGTCCTTTCTCCTTCAACAGGCGGATGAAGTAGTGACAGATGGTTGGCTGGAGGGAGGGACAGAACAAGGCTGACAATCGAGAATGCACCTGCGTGGTGGCCACATGCCAGGAACCGGCCTGGGCACCGTGTCTGTCCTACCTCAGGGAACCATCATAACGGCCTTGGGAGGGAGAGGCCATCAGCAGCCCCATTTCACAGATGAGGAAGCTGAGGGGCAGGGAGTGAACTATCTCGCCAGAGTGGCACGCTGGGGGTGCCGCAGAGCGTCCATTCGCACTGGTACAGTCTGGTTTCAGGGTCTGAGTTCTCCCATGCAGTATTACTGCATTGAAGTCCTACAACCGCCCTTTTCAGATGGCACTATCAGCTTCACTCTACAGAAGGCAAAACTGAGGCTCAAGGTCGCAAGATGATCAAGTACGGGACCAGGACCTGAACCCAGGCAGTCTGGGTCCAGCAGCCATGTGTCTAATGACTATATTCTCTCTTTTTTTTTTTTTTTTTTTTTGAGTTGGAGTCTCACTCTGTCGCCCAGACTGGAGTGGAGTGGACTTGTAACCTCATAGTCTTATCTTTCACATTTAGGTCTTTAATCTACCTTTGAATGTAGGGTTAGGTAAGATCCTAGTTCCTCCTCTATATACTGGGGGCGCAAAAAAATGTATACATATTTTGAGATGTTCACTGTAATCAGAAGTGTCTGGAAATAGCAGAAGTCGAACATGACTTGAATTCATCTTTCGTTATTGGTATATATTATTACAATTTTAATAGAGTTTTGTCTTTCTTTTTTTTTTGAGTTGGAGTCTCACTCTGTCGCCCAGACTGGAGTGCAGTGGCCGCTCCCGGTCACCGCAGCCTCGACCTGCTGGGCTCCGGCGATCCTTCCACCTCAGCCTTCCAAGTAGCCGGAATTACAGGCATGCGCTACCACGCCCGGCTGATTTCGTGATTTATTGTAGAGATGAGGTCTCGCCAAGTTGCCCAGGCAGGTCTCGAACCCGTGGGCTCAGGCAATCCACTCACCTCAGCTTCCCAAAGCGGGGGATTACAGGCTGAGCCACCGAGCCAGCCCTAATGACTATATTCTATTTGTCTGAGGGACCCTGGGGGGGCTTACGCAAGCCTGCACTCCCCCAACATTTCTTGTTCCCCATTGCAAAAGAGGTCTCACCTTGAACTGCTCAGGATAGAGCTCCTTGGCGAGGGCGAAGAAGGGTTCTGGATGTTTCTGTGGGGGAGACAGCCCCGGGTGAGATGCGGGTTGGAGCCAGACACCCCCATCCTCCTCACGACAGACACTCCTCCCTGGGGAGCACAGACCTTGAAGTAGCCGATCTCGAAGATGGCCTCTGGGTAGGGGAGGCGGTACTTTTCCAGGTTAGCATAGAGTCCCGTGGATGGAGAGCGGAAGTCGGGGATGCCCGCAGCTGGAAATGAGGGTGGGAAGAACCTGATTAGGGATGTCCAGCTATACCACACCCACCCTCCCAGGCTAGGGCCCAGACAGGGCTCCTCCTCGGCTTCTGGGAGGAGCCCCCATTCCTGGGGGTGGCTGCTGGGGGAGGGGCACTTACAAGTGGAGATTCCAGCTCCCACCAGACAGATGACTCTTCGACCTGCAGGAAAGGAATGAATGCATCATTTAACAGATTTGTCCGGCCCCTGCAGTAATACCATCTGCCACCATCCCTGGCTGTTTACTCATGGCAGGCCCTGAAGCAAGCATTTCCAGCTCACCGTGGCCCTTCCAACCATTGTGAGGGGGACATTGATAATACCCTCCCCACCTCCTTTTTTTTTTTGAGTTGGAGTCTCTCTCTTTTTTTTTTTTTTTTTGAGTTAAAGTCTCACTGGAGTGCAGTGACCGCTCCCGGCCACCGCAGCCTCAACCTGCTGGGCTCCGGCGATCCTTCCGCTTCAGCCTTCCAAGTAGCTGGAACTACAGGCGCGCGCTACCACGCCTGGCTAGTTTTTTGATTTATTGTAGAGATGAGGTCTCGCCAAGTTGCCCAGGCTGGTCTCGAAACCTGGACTCAGGCAATCCCCTTGCCTCTGCCTCCTCAAGTGCTAGGATTACAGGCATCAGTCACTGCACTCCACCTTTCTTTTTCTTTTTTGAGTTGGAGCCTCACTCTGTTGCCCAGGCTGGAGTGCAGTGGCATGATTACAGCTATCACAGCTTTTACCAGCTGGGCTCAAGTTATCCTTCTGTCACAGCCTGCCGGGTAGTTGGAACTACAGGCATGAACCACCACGCCTGGCTAATTTTTTTTATTTATTGTAGAATCGAGGTGTTGCCATGTTGCCCAGGCTGGTCTCGAATTCCTGGGCTCAGGCAATCCTCTTGCTTCCACCTCCCAAAGTGCTGGGTTTATAGGCGTGAGCCACTGTACCCTGTCCCCCATAATTACTTTGTTCTACTGCCTTTACCAGTTTTCTAGCAAGAAGATGGGAGGATATGGTCAGAGGGTGCATCATCTCCCAAGCACACCAGGTCGAGCAGAAATAGCCTTGTGGTTGTTAGCTGCTGGCCGGCAGGCAGACTCCCCACATAGTACCCTGGCACCTGCCCATCAGATGATGGACAGACACAAGTGTGATACCTTGTGAACTGGGTGCCTCTGGGGTGTCCTGTCCAAGGGAGGATAGCAAGGGTGAGCAAAGGTCAAGGCCTGCTACAGCTTCAGCCCTTGGCCTTGTCTCTAGGATGCCATTGGGCCAGGCCTGGTTGGATACAGTGGGGGCTGAGGGGCGGGGAATGTGTGCTCTGGATTCAGGGGACCAGAGGTCAAACAGCTGCCACTTGATAGCTGTTTGGCCCTGCACCAAATCACAACATTTTTGTGCTTCAGTTTCCTTCTCTGTCCAAATCACTCCTATAATGACCTATAAGGTATAATATGACAATCAATAAGAGGACACTGTAAAGTGCCCAGCACAGTGCGTGGCAAACAGTGAGGGGTGGATGAGTTATTACAGTTTATTACTATCCCCTCATGGGCACCCCATGAGACAATGACCCCAGAACCCAGGTGCTGGAGGACAGAAGGAACAAATGCTTTGCAGTTGCTGCCTGCGTTCTCTTTGGGGCCCACCCAGGCCAAAAGATGGCTGCAGACAGCTGTCCAGCCTGCCCCAGGAGAGACAGAAACTCAGGGCAGTGGCCCGGCTGCCCTGGGAGGGAGACACGCCAGCTGGAGGACAGGGAAACCGGAGAAGATATCCCCAACAAAAGGCTGTTCAGGACCCTCAAAGGGTCGATTGTTCTAGTCGAGGACTGCCAAGGGCCTGGTGTCTCAGACTTTTGTGACCTCAACTCATGGCCAGAAATATAAATCTCATGGTGACCCAGTAAACGGGCACCTCTCCACGACACCTGAAAGAAGCTTCCTGTCGTGGCCACCAGAGCAAAGACTCCGAAGCTCTCAATATGTTTCAGGTCATGCTCCAAGCATTGACATTGATAGGAATTTATTTAGCCCCCATAATCCCATGAGTTAGATACGATTATCTGTGAAACACTCCTGGTCAATCAGAACCCACTAAGTCACTCAGCAGTGGCGAGGTGACCCAGGCCTGGGCAATCAGAGACACGGGGGCAGGCACCTAACTCTACCTGGACTAATCGGAGCCAATCTCTGCTGTTTTGCTCAAACCACTGGGAAACCAATGCTCTTTCAGTGGCAGTCGCCAGGACGGTTGGTTTTATATTTGGAGCTGCCAGGAACTGACTTTACCCCAAAGCGAGAAAAATAGCACCAGAGAGCGGTAAGATTTTTGACAACGTGGAAGCACCTGGGTCAAGCCATGCTTAAAGCAATTTTTTGCTGTTTGTTTTCTTTTGTTTTTGTTTGGAGTTAGAGTGTCACTCTGTCACCCAGGTGGAGTACAATGGTATGATCAAGGCTCACTGCAGTCTTGACCTCCTAGGCTCAGGCCATCCTTCCACCTCAGCCTCCTGAGTAGATGAGATTACAACCTGAGCCGCCATGCCTGGTTTATTTATCTATTTATTTATTTATTTTGTAGAGACAAAGTCTCACTACAAGGTCTCACTACAAGAGGCAAGTCTCAAACTCCTGGGCTCAAGCAATCCTCCAGCCTTGGCCTCCCAAAGTGCTGGGATTATAGAAGTGAGCCACCACACCCTCCTGGCCAAAGCTGGATTTTGTTACAGATTTGAATTGGGTTTCTGGCTGCTTATAAACAAAAGGTGGCAACAAATGGTTCAAGTGGCTGGAGGTGAGAGGTCACTTGGGGCCAGGAGCTGGGGGAAGGACCCAGTCCAAGCAAGAGACTTACAGCGCTCGCTCTGCATGTATCGGCCCACACCCTCCAAGGTTAGCTCATCCAGCAGACGTTCCTTCTGGGTGCCCAGTCCAAGAGTCTGGGAGAAGAAATTCCGCAGGAAGTCCACTGGCCAAAAAAGAGAAAGACGGTGGCGGCAGGGAGGGCATTCAGCCAGGGGCACGGCTGTCTCCAGTGCCCCAGCTCTGGGGTACCCCAGTCTCCCCACAACGAAAGGCATGGCCAAGGGCCCCCAGGAGCCTGCTATGGCACTGGCATGGAACCCCTTGCTACATACTTTGAACGTCACTCCGGGTGGAGCTGAGGGGAATCACCCAGACCCCTGCCCTGAAATACCCCTCCAGACCCCGGTTACTGTCCCCTAAAAGGGACATACACTCACTCTCTGCTTCTCCGCCGGCTGCTCCTTCCTCAGTGTCTGAATCGGAGTCCTGGAAGGGGTGGGGTGGGGTGGCCAGGCCCAAGAAGTGGGGTTAGGGAGGACAGGGAGGAGGGTTTGGAGAAAAGGCTCTGGCCTGGAGGTGGCCTGAGGAAGTGAGGGCGGTGGAGGGCCTGCGTGAGGGCTCTGGGACGGGCCGCCTGGGTGGGGAAGGAAGCCCTGCCAGTCCTGGAGGGCACAGCCTCACGTGAGTGACTTCACTTTTCTGGGTCTCAGTGTTCCTCATCTTGGAAATGGAGCTCAGGGGCTGGGAGCAGCCCCAGGGGCTGGGAAAGTGCTCAGCACTGGCTTTGCTGCTGTCACAAGCCAGCTGTCCTCCTCTTGCATGACCTGTCCCCTGGGGCATGGGCCTGCTGCCCCTTCCCTACAGCCCTGCGGCTGGAAGTCTCTGCCGTGGTGATGCCCATGGAAAGGCCTCGGGGCGTGCCGTGTAGGCCTCCTGATTGAAGCCCAGACCCTCTCTGCCCATCTCTCTGACTCCCTCCTTTCTCGACCCTGCCCCTCGGCCCAGCTCCTGAGTCACAGGCCCTCTCTGCTCTGTCTCCTCCTTCCCTGGCTGTTGGTCTCATCCATGCCCACGGCCTCGGCCCAGTCACTGCTGATGTCACCTCTCCCCACATCCAGGGTTTCCATGACCTCCTGGACCCCTGGCCCTCGGTGGCCCCCAGGCCCTCACACCCACCATGTCCCAGACTGGCCTGAGCATCTCCCGAAACCCGCTTCCCCTCCAGGCCCCACCTTCATGTGGTCTCACTGTCCCCAGTTTGCCAGATGTCTCCCACCCCTGCCTCCCCGCCTGCTCTCCTGCCGCAGCCCTTCAGCCCACAGCTGTACACTCGGTCTCCTGAGGGTCCCTCTATTCACCCTTCACCCCCTCCCAGTGCTCCACCTGGTCTAGCCTGTTCTTCCCCAGAGGTCCTGCCCCAGCTTCCTTCCTAGGCTCCTGGCACATCGCGGCCTGCCCAAGTCAGCCCACTCCTGTCTACTTCAAATTCCTTCTCTTTGGCTTCTCCACACGCATCACTTGACCACAAACATGGAGAGTACACCAGGAGGTCCGCTCCATGAGGGCAGGGGCTATGTGTTTACCCAGCACTGAGAGCAGGGTCTGGCTCCTGGCAGGAGCTCCAATACCCTCCACCACTGAACACAAGCCTGCTGCATGCTGGACCAGGACTGGGCCCTGCAGTGGGTCTCACCAAAATGCAGTTATTATTATGATTATTTTTTTGAGTTGCTGTCTCACTCTGTCACCCAGGCTGGAGCGCAGTGGCATGCTCACGGCCACCCAGCCTTAACCTGCCGGGCTTAGGCAATCCTTCTGCCTCAACCTTCCAAGTAGCTGGAATCACAGGCATGCATCACCACGCCCGGCTAATATTTTGACTTATCGTAGAGATGAGATCTCGCCAAGTTGCCCAGGCTAGTCTCAAACCCCTGAGTTCAGTCAATCCTCTAGCCTCTGTCACCCAGAGTACTGGGATTATAGACATGAGCCACCATGCCAGCTCTGCCCAATGCACTCTCCTGCTTAAAACCCGGCAAGCAACCTCTTTTCCCCAACCACTCACTATTCTTTTTTTTTTTGAGTTGAGGTGTCACTCTGCCACCCAGGTTGGAGTGCAGTGGTACAATCACGGCTCACCTCAGCCTCAACCTCCTGGGCTCAGGCGATCCTTCTGCCTTAGCCTTCCTAGTAGCTGGAACCACAGGCATGTGCCACCATGCTCGGCTAATTTTTTGATTTATTGTAGAGAGGAGGTCTCACTGTGTTGCCCAGGCTGATCTTGAACTCCTGGGCTCAGGCATTCCTCTTGCCTTGACCTCTCACCTTGCTGGGATTATAGGCATGAGCCAAAGTGCCCAGCTTGCATCCTTTTTGAATAAAGCCCGCCCTTCCAAAACTATTACATATTGCTTTAAAAATGTACACAAGTAGCCGGGCTTGGTGGCTCGGCCTGTAAGCCCGTGCCTTTGGGAGGCTGAGGTGAGCGGATTGCCTGAGCCTGCGGGTTCGAGACCTGCCTGGGC